TCCCCAAATTTAACCAGTCAAAAAAGAGATAATTTTTTTTCCAAATCTTATATTGCGTTCATATGGAGTTTATTTTAAAAAATATGAAATTTTATTAAGCTAGAAATGTTGTGAATATCTACACGCTATTGTTTTTAAAATTCTTTATTGAGATATATTACAATCTGTCACATCTCAGAACAATAGTAATAGTTCATTCACACCATGTACAATAAATAAAAATAAATAAACAGAAAAATAATAATACTAAAATTAAATGTATATAAACTAAAAGAAACTAAACTAAAAAAAAAAGAAACTAAACTAATCAAAATAACAACTTAAAACACACATGCTTTTATATAATATTTACAAAATTCTTTCATTCAAGATCTCCAAGGGGTTTCTCTCTACACATGGAGGAAAGACAGGATAGTAGGAGGAGATTCCAGCGGCTCTCACTCAGCCGCATCACTGGTACACCTAATTAGAACTACTTTTTTTATCACTTACATGCATGTAAGTAAACGTTCTAATATGATACATAATAATTAATAGTTACATAAATTTAGTCGTAGATGCAAATTGAAGGATTAAAATGAAAAATCATTTGATAAGAAAAAATCCCCCCCGAAACTCCTCAAACTATAATTTATTTATTTTAAAAATATTTATTTATTTTAATTGATTATTTTTAAATTTAATTTTAGTTCTGTTAAATTGAACCGTCACTACATTTTTTTTTTTTTTTGGTACAATTATTACTTACAATAGAGTTGGAACTTATTTATTAAGTATTTGAAAAAAATAATAAAGGAAAAATTGAAGAAAACACTAGTGTATATAGCATACGTATTGGAAGTAACGATCAAAATGAGAAAAATGTTGCAAACATGTGTGAGTAAAATAAAAGTACTTATAAAAAGAAAAGATATAAAAACCAACAGCTACAATAGTATACAATCAAGGAAACGAAAAAAGAAATAAAAGTTGACATTCTGGGAAGTAAAGGGTTTTGCTGGCTGAGTATAAGGCTTTGAGAAGTCCTTTTTATAGATAAAGGCTATAAGAAAGGCTTTAGTAGGTAAGAAATAACATGTTCCCATCACTTCGTGGGTGAGCAATATAAATGAAGATGATCACTTTAGCTCCGATAAATATATTATATATTATTGATTTTGTATATTACATTTAGTTCTATATTATTTTAGATAACTCCTATAATCAAAAACTCAAGTTTTTTTGATGCGATGAAGCATTCCGTCGCTGGACCTAGTTAATATTTTGATTAGAGAAAACTTTCCACTACTACATAAAATTTTTAATTGGAAAACTTTATATTATTTCTTTGAAATATTTAATAAGAAAACTTTCTTATATTGCTCAACTATCTATTAAAATATATGCCTCTTATGTCTTTGAAATAATTACTTAATTTGATTAAATAAAATAAATTTGAATATCCCAAGGTTTTACACTGGCTCTTATGCGTTACACAACTTATTCTGATGACATACTTGCCATTGACTGCCCCCTATCCTGACCATTTAATTTTTAAAGCATATCCAGATTAACTCCTTGATTATATTGCCTAGTTAATATTGGATTAACTACACATGTTAACATTTATATAGACTACATCAAATGGTTAGGACCATCTAATGGTAATATTATCATTAGTAGAAATGTTAGCCGAAAAATTCATTTTAAATTCATCATTTCTGCTGACTAAACAAGAAAAAGTTTGGATTGTTTATATCGGTAAATTTCAGATTTTTTTTTTTTGTTATTTACTTTATTTTTCCACTCACACCTGTCAGAAATGCCGATATATCGAATGATATCAAGAAAAGTGAGATGTTACAGAGCAGTGATGTCAAGATGTAGAAGATTGGAATAGGTATGACTTAATTTTTATGTTTTTAATTTACTTATTTTTAGGTTATTTTATTTTTTACTGTACATAGTTATTATTTAGTTATTATGTTAATTTTATGTTTTCTGTATATATGGTGTGAATGTGTTCATATCTTACTATAATTATTGTCCACGTGACAAATTATTATATTTCTAAATAAATAAGTGGAGAAGATCCCACATCCAGCTTCTTTTGAGCCTCCTACAGGTGATATTGTACATGTTAGATATGACTACGCCTTGAATCAGTGAGTTGGTTGGTAAGTCCGAATAAATTATTGTGAAATATTTTGTTGTATTGCGTGTGGTCTTTAACTTTTAGCACCTGTAGGTCTTTATGTAAACATAATGGTCTTGAAAGTGTCTGATTGAAAAGTCTGTACTTTACGTAAGTGAGTCTTTTATGCCGTATATCTGTGAAGTATAGGTCCAAATGGGGTTAAATGAGTAACATGTCTGAGTTTTAATTTCTGATGTCTTGAAAATAGTGAGTATAACAGTCGTAGTCTTAGCTTTGGAGTTTTTGTTTTGTTCTTGATATGTGGATCCCATATCATTCTTCTGTCAAATGTCAGTCCAAGATATTGAACTTAGTCTGTCTGAGGAATTTACACATTGTCAAGGTAAAGAGCAAGTATGACTCATGTTCCTTTTAAAAAAATTAAAATTTCAAAGAAAAGATCAATTCATCACCAATGCTTTATTGCTTTTATAACATAATTATTTTAAAGGACGACGTTTCGGCCAGCCTGACAGATCACATGCCTGAGTGACATTTAGGAATACTCCAGTAGAATACATTTTCCCGTCTAAATATGTCGCAATGTAATCTGTCATTCTGTGTAATTGATGAATGTTTAAATGTTGCGATCGGAATCGAAATTAATAGTTTTGTTATTGACATTGATATCGTTTGTCACTCGCGAAGCATTTTCCTAAATATTCTAGAAAATATTGGGAGCAGACTAACGCATGATGAAAAGATATATGTGTTCGTATCAACATAATGTATGAGTAATTCGATTGCAAAGGAAATTTAGAGTTAGTATTGCATTACTAATACGCAAATATTTTTACAGCTATTAGTGATTTTTTTTTAGGTCGAACTTGAAAATGTTAGAAGGCTGACATAAAGACTTCAACTGTTTTACATAATTGATACAAAGCCCTTTTTCGGAGAGATTGGGGATTGTAAACCTACCATTTTCCTTTTTTTTTAAAAAACATAAAATTAAAATGTCAATGAAAGAGCAAATGCTATGCAGATTGTATGGAAATTTTCCTTTTCCAACTGGTCGAACGTTTAATTCAAAATTACTATAGATCTAACGAATCATTAACGTATTTGCATCTTTGGTGCAAACCGCTTACTCTGCATAGGAAGAAGTGGAGAAAACATCAAAAGAGATTTTTTTTATGCAATCGAAAATTGCGGTCTCACGCCTATATTACCATAATTCGTATCAGTTCACCTTATCATTTTCCATACTACAAAATGTAAGGTAATTTGTAAATCTGAGAAAATCAATAAATAACTTTTTTTAAGTTTTTTTTTTTGGAACTTGTTTATTCAGAAATATTACAATCTGTCTCAAATGACATTTTTAATAATGTTCAGAGTACATTCACACTTTATGTACAATAAAAAAAACCTGTACCTCTACAACCCAGAAAGGGTCTTGGGATCAGTACTATTTAGGGAAAGTACTATTTCAAGGCCAAGGACAGGGAGAGGGTCGAACCAGGATCACGCTTAACTGCAGTTTAATAATATAATTAAGGGTACCCATTTTGTAGAGACTGGGTATGCCCCAGGAGGGTCCCGCTACCCCAGGGTCGCCCCACGGCCAATGAAACAAAATAAAAAATTGACTGCCATGAGAAGGGATTCGAACCTGGGACCTTGGAAGCTTAGGGCCTGGCACTGAGCTACCTCGCTTTCTCTTATTTACAATAAATAAAAATAAATTAAACAGCATAATAATATAGCTAAAACTAAATACATATAAACAAAAAATAAACTAATAAAAATACAAACGTAGTTTTATAAAAAAATTTCAAAGTTCATTCATTCAGGGAAACTCCGAACCAAGCCTTTCCTCCGACTCGTGGAAGGAAAGACAGGACCCTAGGAGATCCCCGTGCCTTTCACTTAGCCGCATTACTGGTATTTTTAAAAAGTATAATCCATTAATATTAATTTCTTTAATCAAAGACTAAATTCGTACAAAATAAGATTACAAAATGTTTGCCATAAAAGAAGTTGTGACAATAAAAATAGCGTTCCTTCTCTAAAAATATTGCGGAAGATAGGTATAGGAGTTGCTATGAAAAAAATTAAAAGTGTCAAGAGAAATTAAAAATACGAAAAGTAATGATTTAATAACTGAAAGGAATGTAAAATGTTACGAATATGTAAAAAATATACCTAACAAATCTCTTGTTCAGTCAACTTAAATCATCTGGACCATCTCAACCAAGATAAAATTGTTCAAAAGTTTTTAAGTTTTCAACACAAAAAAGGGTAAACCACATCATCTAATTATTAAGTAGAATTGAGGGTCATTAACAGAAATAATATTGACGAAATAGGCCTTCTTAAAATTCAAATTGGCACAAAAAGAAGAATTTCAAGGCCTGGATCTATTTTGAAAAATTAAATAAGAGGCAATGAAAAAAAGAATTAAAAAAAAACAAGAAGACGAATCCATGTTGAAACACTTATTATATTACTCAATGATAATCCAAAGATTCAGATGCGAAGAAGAGCATGCTTGTGGATATGCATATTTCAATAGTCGTATTAAATATTCATTGGTGTATTAAAATAGCTCCATGAATGCTTGGATACTGAACATTTATTTCAATTTACTGGCTCAAATTTTAAAATTTATTAAAAGAACAACCATTGTAGAGCTATATATTTTTCTTATTATTGATTTAATTATTTCGATGGAACATAAATAATATCGATGCGTCCTGACGGATTGTTTAGTATACTTGTAACCTTTAGATACTATTTCTTGCTTTTTTCTATTGAGGAAAAATAAATTCAGTATATTTAAAACCTACTATATTATATAAGACTAGTAAAATTTCATTACATATATCGATATGGTCCAATCTCCTGTAGTACCGGTTTGCCACCGTTCTGTACCTCCATCGGATTGGTGATGTTGAATATGTATATATTAAAATCAAGGTACTGAGGTATCTTCTTCCATATTTTTCGAACATCGGACCCGTCATCGAGTGTCACGATCTGAAAAAAAAAGTAATACATGTAAGCATTCACAACAATATAAAGATCATTCTTGTTTTGTAATTAAATAGTATAATTTTGAAAACATGTATACAATAAATAATGTTAAAATACTGGAATAACTGATATTTAAAATTAATTCATATCATCAATCCTCTAAGATCAGTAAGGATGTGGAGAATAGTTTTTTGGAACAGAAGGAAATATTATAATTTTACTTATGAATGATGTGAATTCTATCAAAGAAATTCTTGTTAAAAATAAGAGATATTAGGTTGTTGAGGAATATGTTTAATTAAAATTTAACCACAAAAAAAAATAGTTAGTTCTTTGAAAAAAAAATTATATGAATTAAAATCAATGGATTTTTTTTTCTTAAAAAAGAATGGATTTCTGGGTGATTATTTATTTTCAAGCAAGAGTTTCGAGCAATACTTGAGATAGTGTTGCCCAAATACGAGTCTTGGATTTTAAGTAAAGCGAATTTTCTGAATTGATACACAAAACAAAATAAACCCTGAGAATAAATAGTGAATAATTCATGTAGGTTTTTTATTTGTGCACTAACTTTTTTGAAAGAATTTAAATTAATCTTTCATCTAATGAAAACATTACATATAAAATTCTCTATTAGAAAATGGGGATTCAAAATTTCTTTGCTGAATACCTGGAATAACACTTGAATATATGTTTCAAGTTAAAGCTGGAATCCTTGTTACAGCAACTGGTAAAAATATTTAGTTAAATTTCATACTTGATTCTTGGATAATGAAATAAGTATAATCAATTTCGGTCTTTTGTTTTTCGATTTCCCATTCATTTTGAGTAAAATATATCATGTCAATGAGAAACATGAAATTAAATGGTTTCCTTCCAGCTCTTGAAATGTAATAGAACGTTTAAGTTCTATCAAATTTGATAATTGCTCAATAATTTTTTTTCCAATTTGTTCCTAACTAAATAAGCCAATACATTATTGGCAGATATATACATTTACGGCAGATAAATAGTTATTCAAGTGCAGGTTACCGATTACGTATATATTATTTGATGTATATGACGTGCAACACCGTGATTAAATAACATTATTCTACGTCTTTTGTAACAGATGTATCTTTTCAATGTTTCTATTTGGTAGTTAGGAATTTTCTTTTTTGTTGGTGTACGTATTCTTTATTTTTAAGGTATTATCAAGTATAAGTTAGTCAACATGAACAATACTCATTTTGTAAACCCACAAATATTTTCGTATTTTCTCAATTTTGATCCAGTAATATTCTGTTTAATGATGGAAAGAAATCATACTGAACCAGAAGTGGATATCGCTGGTGCAGTTGACGTCTTCCAGTTTGTAGTCTTCAAGCTTTAACCAGATTCAGAAACAAACAGAAGTACCATTACCAGAAACCTGTTAGTGGATATCAGCAAATTACAAAATCAGGGATGAAGAAAAACCGGTATTACTGAAAGAAGCTACCTTTTCATATTGCCCGATACAGCCTTAATGAAGTGTTAAATGTTCTGGCTAGGCCCATACCAACACAAACAATTAGTAATAATTTCAATGTATTTTATGATAAATAAAATAAAAATTCTAGGGAAAATAAATCATGAATGACTAACAATAACCCTATTCTTTTCGGAGCAATACATGTATTGTAACAAATAACAACTGACCTTTTTTTATTTTATCTTATTTTTTAACTTCTACCTCTGCTAACTATCTATTTCCAGAATCAAAAATTATATGTATTTTTATATGTGTGCGTGTATATTTCTCATAAACATTTAAGATTCATCCTCCTATCGGTTTTTAAAATTTAAAGACTCTGAATCTAATATATAATCAAGAGACACACACTAGTCCAATCAAAAGGAAAAAAAGTATATCACGAAATTCTATAGATCTATAGCTCAAATAAAATATTTTTAAAAATTAAAATTAATTCAATTTATATTTTGACAGATTCACCAGTATCCTACATCATAACAAAATAATCATTTCACGCATTTTTTTTAAAAACTATTGTAGATATATTTATACTAATACTTTTGGTACTAATATAAGTCTCCTAGCTGGTAGTAAACTTGTTTCTATTACTTATAGAAACATCAAATAAGGATGGAATATATAACACATGCTTTGACAGATCTCCTATAGAGGGATGCAAGAGAACTTCAAAGTACATTACGTTAAATGGATTATCAAAGATCTGACTTGGCTCAGATGATCTATTCATACAAGAATAAGGTTTTCTGCATGATGTATGGACTTATTAAGTTCCTCCTCTTGAAATAAAATAGTAAGCATTTGAATTAGTACGATACAATTTTACTCAAATCGAACTATTTCCAGTTCAATGTTCATCGATCTCAATAAATAGTATATATAGAGGGTGTTTCACGGTTAAGTTGCCAAACAGCAAAAATGAACTAAATGCCTCAAAACAAGAAAAAAATTTCTTCTGAAGGTATGTCCGCAAACGCATTGTTTAGGAGATATTCACACTTAAAGATTTTCGTTGCTATGAATTATTTACGTTATGTTAAATAAATAAAACCTATTTATTTCTTCTAACTACTTTATTAATTAAATGCAAACATTAACCTTCATATTAAATGTTGTTCAAACTGAAGGTGTGTCCGCAAACGCTTTGTTTAGGAAATGGTTTGGATAGAATTGTAATATGGCCTTTTATCCCTAACTGCACAATAACTATTGTCAACATAAGGATTAATGCTATTTGGAAGTAGCATTGGGAACACTCAATAGCATTCATCATTTTGTAAGAGGCTTTCGCAGAATATTCATTATTATGTCTTCCATTTATACTAATGGTGAATACCATAGCTAATGCGTCATGAATATGCCAGGCAATTTCCGGATAGAAGATTACCAAACAAGTCTATCTTTAGTTCCACATTTCAACGTTTTAGAGAAACTGGTACATTTGCTATGAAAATAGTATACATTAATTCAAAGTAACAAACAATTAGCAACAACATATATCGGTTCATCACCCCACTACTTCATATAGAGTACTATAAACCAGTTCCTGTACACAATAAGCCCTTGATTACCCTCATCTTCTCAGCCATTTCCAACCAGATAATTGGCCCTAATTATGTCATTAAATTGGATAAAATTATCCAGTATTAGTCAGTTCTATTAACCCTCAGGGACTTTGCTCATCTGTATTTGTAGAAATTCATTGTCTTAAAAGTTTAAATATCCTCTTTACTTCAGCTCCTGTTCAGGCAGAGTAACGATTTTTCTAATAAATGCACATGTTGAAATATTATCGTTGAAGATTTTTATGTTTTCTTTTTGTACCTCTACGTTTTCTTTTTGTACCTCTTTTCAGTTTGTAAGCATCATATTAAGCTACTCATTAGAAGGGCCTCGAAATACGTTCTTGAATTAGCGTTCATTTTCTATTGTTTCCATTTCCAGGTAAGTCCCTGAGGGTTAATTGAACTGACTAATACTGGATAATTTTATCCAATTTAATGACATAATTAGGGCCAATTATCTGGTTGGAAATGGCTGAGAAGATGAGGGTAATCAAGGGCTTATTGTGTACAGGAACTGGTTTATAGTACTCTATATGAAGTAGTGGGGTGATGAACCGATATATGTTGTTGCTAATTGTTTGTTACTTTGAATTAATGTATACTATTTTCATAGCAAATGTACCAGTTTCTCTAAAACGTTGAAATGTGGAACTAAAGATAGACTTGTTTGGTAATCTTCTATCCGGAAATTGCCTGGCATATTCATGACGCATTAGCTATGGTATTCACCATTAGTATAAATGGAAGACATAATAATGAATATTCTGCGAAAGCCTCTTACAAAATGATGAATGCTATTGAGTGTTCCCAATGCTACTTCCAAATAGCATTAATCCTTATGTTGACAATAGTTATTGTGCAGTTAGGGATAAAAGGCCATATTACAATTCTATCCAAACCATTTCCTAAACAAAGCGTTTGCGGACACACCTTCAGTTTGAACAACATTTAATATGAAGGTTAATGTTTTAATTTAATTAATAAAGTAGTTAGAAGAAGTAAATATGTTTTATTTATTTAACATAACGTAAATAATTCATAACAATAAAAATCTTTAAGTGTGAATATTTCTTAAGCAAAGCGTTTGCGGAAATACCTTCAGAGGAAATTTTTTTCTTGTTTTGAGACCCTTAGTTCATTTTTACAGTTTGGCAACTTAACCCTGAAACATCCTGTATATATATTATTTATCGAGATCGATGAACATTGAACTGGAAATAGTTCGATTTGAGTTCAATGGTTTCGTATTAATTATAGTATTACCGGTAAATTCAAATTATCGTAATATCTTAAAGTTTGTTTTTCTTATTAGTCCTGAATATTTTATTAGCCATTATCATGTAAATGTAGAAAAATATCTTACATGTTCGGATAGAGTATATCATAAAATCTGGAAAACGTCGAAGAAATTGAAGGTAAAAAGTCTAGATTTAGCACTAAGCCTCAGTTAATTCTAAACAGGTTTATAGCCTTACACGGACCTTATTATCGAGGTACACCAGCGCCCATTATCTCCAAATTACATTAAGAACATATTCGATAACAATGGCCTTCCCTAAGGGCTAATCCAGCAAAATAACCTTAATTAGACTTAATTGGGAGTGGTAATGTCAACCAATTTATATTTTTAAAATTTCGAGAAAATGCGCCTTTAGTCAGTTCGGCAATTAGGATCACCCGACGAAAAATGGTTAATCACTTCAACTATACTGCGCATAATCCACAGTACTGATCCTTTTTGATAAATTTCAGTAGAATGGCTAACTAACACAAAATTAACCTTGGAGTATAAACCTTTGTAATTTTTACGGCCTCCTTAAATCATG